TTGCAAGCCAAACACTTTCAAAATGTCACTAGGGGAGAAATTGGAAGAGAATGGGATGGATTCCAAGCTGCAAACAGAACTATGCATATCATGGCATATGGTTGAAATTCTCATGACATGAGAGATTGAAACTCTCATTAGAAGGATCTAGAGGGTTCTAGATCATACACACATGTTCTATATATTGAGTAGAAGAGGTTCAGATGAAGGGTTGGTGATGATTGAAGGAGAGAGCAGAGATTGAGATTGAGATTTCTTTGCTTGCAACTGAATTCGGTTTCACCAATTTCTTCACTTTCCATCCATTTTCTTGATTGCAACTCCTTCCATGGATGCTAGGGATTGAGTCCAGATCATAATCAAGAGGAATTCGTGGCTGATTGGTGTTCTTGAGCACAAATTTTTCCACCTGCAACTCACCATCGGGTTTCAAGATTCAGGAGTTTTCAACCAGTTCTATTGCATACAGAAGCAAGGAAAGGATCCATTGATCGTGCCTGGAAGGTTGGAGAGCTTGATTTGAAGATTTAGTGCATCTGTTCATCAAGAATTTTCAGGTTAGTAACTTTCTTCCTCCAGCATGAATTAGGTAGAATCAATACGAATTAGGGTGTTAGATGCATTGTAGAATGGTGTAGGAAGGTTTTCAGATCGTTAGTTTGAGAATTAGTGACCAATTAAGGATGTTACCATTTTCGGTTGAGAATTGGTTATGGCAAATCTTGAGGTTTCAGAGAGAATAAAGGGTATGGATGAACTCGTGAGGAAATTTGGGACAAGTTTCATGTACAAACCACTTGCAATGGGGGATCCTAGAGAGAGTTAGGGTTGGGGACGATGACCGGAGCACCACCGGTGGTGGCCGGAGCTGCGCGCGAGGTTCAGAAGTTCAAAACGAAGAAGATGACCTTAGAGCCATTGGATGGGGCTGAGACCTTTGACTAGAGGAGTGATCCAACAGCCACGTTTTAATCTCAGTTTGTGAAGGATCTGAGTTAATGAAACGCATCATTTCATTTAGTAGCTGATGTTGGGCTTAGTGAAAAGATTGATAATCACACCCCCCTGATGGCCCAATCCATTATGTGAACTGATTTGCATTGCTAGTTGCACCACACATTTATCTTTTTAATTGGATTTTCTTTATTCTCTTCATTTTTTTTCATGGTTCTTGATAAAATCATATAAAATTGAAAAATGATCCAATTAATCCCATTCTTTTTGCATTATACTCATGATTGAGTCTAGTATTTTTTAGAGAAAAAATATTTGTAGTTCATGCATTTTATGATTTTATGGGAATTTTTTATTTTAATTGATATTAAAATGGTTAGGTTTGATACTTAATTTTGTGGAATTTTGTGTGATCATGTGGTGATGATTTTGATCCTGATTTTTTGTGTATGATTAGCTTAGACATGTATTCTCCCATAGAATTTTTCTCATATTTTTGTGATGAAAATAGGTGTGTTTTCTAGATTGAGCTTTAGGTGCTTCCTTTTAGGGTTTAGGTTTAGTACCTTGTAGTGTAGAATTTATTTCTAGGTCTTATTTGATGATTTGATCTCTGGAATTAATATGGTAGAGTCATGATTGACCTAGGTTCCCATAGTTAGTTTTGTAGGATTTTACAATTGGTTTTAGTATTTTAGTTAGGATTAACTTTAGTACTAGGGTTTAGGTGATCCTAACTTACTAACTCAACTAGATTAACTTCTTTAGTTCCCTTAGATTAGGGTTTGGCTTTGTTTGCCTTTGGTTGAGATTGAAGACAAGTTGAAGACAAGGTGAGGATGCTTGAAGTTGCTTGAAGTTGCTTGGAGTTGCTTGTGCCTGAAGGTGTCTGATGAAGATTTAGGAGGTAGGAGACATAGGGAGAGCCTTATGATTAGAATGACTTCTTTCACAAATATGGAAAGCATCTTGTGCTCCCATTCCTCCCAATGACTAAAGGTCCTTCTAAGATATTCACATCCCTCCTTTGGAGGGATGAGTGGCTTTATCTGGGAAGTAGAACTTTGAGGGAACCAGTCTCTCATAATGATGAACCCTTACAGGCTTCCTTTGGTTGTCAATAAGCTGTTTATCATTTCCACTCATTCTGTTGAATCAATTGTCTTCTGGTTTGAGTATCTTGAAAGATGTTGGACTTGAGTTTGAAGATGAGGACTTCACTGAAGAGTGTGGAAGAGGATGATTCCTTGAGCATTGCCATTGCAGCTGAAGCTTGAAGAGCAAGAGGAACAAGTTGATACTTGAAGATCCAATGGAGATTGAGTGAAGAGCTAAGGCTTAAAGAATTGAAGGATGAAGTTGACACTTCTAGGTGATTGAAGACTACTCTGAGAAGCTGAAGCTTGTAGGAGAAGAAGACCAAGTTGATATTGGTAAAGCAAAGAGAGCTGAAGCTTGAAGACCAAGTTGATACTTATGAAGAAGATCCAATTGAGATTGAGTGTAGAGCTGAGGCTTGAGGAATAAAGGATAAGTTGACACTTACACTGATGCATTGAGAGCCTGAAGGAATCAAGTTGATACTTGTAGTTAGGAGTGAAGCCTGAAGGTGGAATTGACTGGAGAGCTGAAGCTTGGAGAAGAGAGAACAAGTTGATACTTATGTTGAGGTGTTGGAAGCTTAGAGAAGCAAGTTGATACTTGCTAGTGAAGCTGATAGCCTTGAAGGGTGGTTGAAGTCTGAAGACTGGATTGCTGTCAGAAGAGCTGAAGCTTGAAATTGAAAGAGGGAGTTGTTGATCTGTTTCTTTTTCTTGTCTGTTTTCTTTTCTGTATTGATGTGGCTTGTTTGATTTGCTTGATGCATTAGAATAAGTTCATATCTAGATTGACTTGAACTAGGAGCATGATTGCACTAGAGGTTGAGTTGCTCCCTCTGCTTTTATTTTTACTGTATGGCTTTGCTTGCGGGTATTCGGTAGAGCCCAACTCCCTTGCCCGTGTGGTTTGTGTTTGCTTGATAGCATTTTATTTCCTCTGTATGATTGCAGTTTATTGTATTTTGCTTGATAGCATGTTATTTCTTCTATATGATTACAGTTATTCATATCTGGCTTGAGGTTGAGATGAGCTTGTGGAGGCTGCTGCCCCACACACATTTCCTCCCTCACTTGCATTGCATGCATTTTACAGTCGTTTACTGTTTACTGTTTAAGCTGATGCTTTATCTGTTTATGTTTACCGTTGACATGATCCCTTAGGACTCTCACTTCCTTTGATAAGGAAGTGATGATTAGAACTTTAGGTTGAAACCTATGCATGATAACTTCTAGGAGTTCCCTGTTTCAAACTCCAACCATAGGATGAATCCTTGGCATGATAACATTAGGACTTGATAGTCTCCTCGTAGTTGAGCATGTTCTCTCTTCTCATCTCAAAACAGCTTAAGATACAGTAATCATGAATGATTTCTTTCGTACGTTACGAGCCTTAAGCTATCTGAGAAAGGATTGTTGGAGAGCTTCTTTTCAACACTCTGGATGTTTAGTATGGCACCCTTTGGGTGACATGCGACGCATTCACTCTCAGGTCATAGTCTTTAGTGCGATTGAAATTGCAGACACAATAAAAAGACAGTTCTTCCGTAAAAGACAGAAAACAAACTTCAAACCTTTTTGCCCCGTGGGCCCATAATTCAAAGAAAGCTTTTCTGAAGAAAAGAGTGTCGTTAAACTTCAGCGCCACCGCAAACAGGCTTTGTCCCTAACTGCTGGAACTGCTGTTTAACCCTACTCGATAAAACAGATGAATCTGAATCCCCGTAATTCGTATTATCCCGAACTACGTAAGCTCTGATCTCTCATACCTGTTGAGAGTACGTAGGCACAATACTGATGTATTGGCGAGCCACCTTCCCCATAACCCGTAGTTAGTCGAACTACGTTGACTCTGATTTCTCATTCCCTGATGAGAATACGTAGGCATAAAGTGCGACGCTTTGCCGAGTCATTTTCTTTTCTTTTTAAGCCAGCCTTGATAGGTAGATAGATAAACCAACTCGTCCAGTAAACACAACAAGCGTGGATCCCGTCGAGTACGACGGACGTGAGGGGTGCTAATACCTTCCCCTTGCGTAACCGACTCCCGAACCCAGACAATGGTTGCGATGACCTTGTCTTATACCTTTTTCGTCAGGTTTTTTCCGATCGTTTCCTTTCCCGTTCTGAGGGATAAATAACGAAAGGTGACAACTCTTCTGTTTTGCCGGCACCTTATTTTCACGGAAGCGACAAACTGCAACTGTGAAATCTGTTCTGTTGTGATGTAGAATACAAAGCAATGCACCCTATTTATAGTTTTAGGTTTACATTAGCCCAAAACATAAAATGCCCAAAATATTCTAAATCAAATCTAATCATATGATATCAAATCTAATCATATGATATCTAATCATATCATATCAAATTAATCATATGATATCAAATCTAATCATATGATATCAAATCTAATCATATCAAATCACAATGAATTATATTTAACATTTAAGGTCTAATATATGATTGAAGTGTTTATCTATTGTATTGTGTAATGTAATGAGGAACCTAGTTTTAGTTTAGGTGATGTATATTTTGTAATATATATTGTTATTTTGTTATTTGGTGTTAAAATAATATTGTAACTTATATTCATTAACATTGTTATTTATTATTTAATAATGTATGAATAATTAAATGTAAGGTTATAATATATATGTATATATGATTCAATAAAAAATTTATAAAAAATGAAATCAACAAAATTAACTCAAACTCTATTGGTTTGTATTTTTTTTCAGTTCAAAAATTTTTATAGTTAAAACCGTCCAAATTGCATGGAACCAGCTACTATAGAGTAAAACTTAGTAAAAAAAAAAGGCAAATTTCTATGACATTTGAATTTTCTAAGACATTTGCTAAAAAACCAATTTCTAAGACATGAATTTTCTAACACTTGTGGGTCCGAAACCGAACACGCCCAGTGTTTCATACTTATACAAGAGTTTTTCTATGCTCTCCCACGAACTCATCAAAACAAGCAAAATGGTTACAAATTCCAGAATTCAAACTACTCCACTACCAACCTTAATCTTCTCTTTCATTATTTGCATAATCATATCTCAAACCGTAGCAGATTCACAACTTGCTTATGGCTACACAGTCACCACTGTAACCAATAACCCCGCATCAAATTCTTTTTCTGCTAACCTTAAACTCATCAAACCCTCCTCTGTCTTTGGAACCGATATTCCATTTCTCAACCTCACTGCCAGGTAACTAATCATAGTTTACTGTTTTGTTTTCCTGTCTCATCAACACACAAACATATAATCATAATAACTTTTTCTTTAACTCTCAATTGTAGTTTTGAGACCAAGGATAGATTAAGAGTAAGAATCACTGATTCACTTAACAAAAGATGGGAAATTCCACATGAACTGATTCCAAGAGACTCATCATCTTCTTCTTCTCTATCTCACTCTTTTCTCTTGCAAAATCCTCAAAACTCAAAACACATACTCACACATCCAAATTCAGACCTTATCTTCACACTCCACAACACAACCCCATTTGGTTTCACCGTCTCACGCAAATCCAGCAAAGATATAATCTTTAATACTTTACCAGAAAACCCTTTAAACCCCGAAAAGTTTCTAGTATTCAAAGATCAATACTTGCAACTTTCTACCTCTCTACCAGCAAAAAGAGCTTCTCTGTATGGTTTTGGAGAGCACACAAAGAGTTCCTTCAAGTTACAACCAAACCAAACTTTCACTCTTTGGAATGAAGATGTTGGCAGTTCCAATCTTGATGTGAACCTTTATGGCTCTCACCCTTTTTACTTAGATGTGAGAAAGGGTTCATCTGATGGAAGAGTGAAAAGTGGAGCCACACATGGTGTTTTGCTTCTTAATAGTAATGGAATGGATGTTGTTTATAGCGGCGATCGTGTTACTTATAAGGTGATTGGAGGTGTTTTTGATTTCTATTTCTTTGCTGGTTCTTCTCCTGAGTTGGTTTTGGAACAGTACACTGAACTCATTGGCAGGCCTGCTCCTATGCCTTATTGGTCTTTTGGTAAGTCCAACAATGTTTCATTCCTTTTTTGTTCTTCTATTCATGCTGATTCGCATCGTTGTTAACTCCTTGTGAAGGTTTTCATCAGTGTCGATGGGGCTACAAGAATGTAAGTGATCTCCAAGGTGTGGTAACCAACTATGCAAAAGCTCGTATACCTCTCGAAGTTATGTGGACAGATATTGATTACATGGATGCATATAAAGATTTCACACTCGATCCTGTTAACTTTCCGCTCCATAAGATGAGAACTTTTGTTGATACCCTTCACAAATATGGTCAGAAATACATACTTATCTTGGATCCAGGTGCCTAATTCGAAGACCATAGCGTATTTTTTTAGCCTTTATGCATATGACATTGATTTGAGGCAAATTTTGTACACAGGTATCAATGTGAATAACACATATGCAACCTATGTTAGAGGTTTACAAGCTGATATTTATATAAAGAGAAATGGAATCAACTATCTAGGTGAAGTTTGGCCTGGACCAGTTTACTATCCTGATTTTCTTAACCCTCATAGTCAAGAATTTTGGGGTGATGAAATCAAATTATTTAGGGAACTTCTTCCTTTTGATGGTCTTTGGCTTGACATGAATGAGTTATCCAATTTCATAACTTCTGATGCCACTCCACATTCTAATCTTGACAACCCTCCCTATAAAATTAACAGTAATGGAGTTCAACGAGCGATTAACAACAAAACGGTTCCAGCAACATCGTTACATTATGGCAATATCACTGAGTATGATTCACACAATTTGTATGGACTACTAGAGTCCAAAGCAACTTACAAGGCTTTGGTGAGTATAACTGGTAAAAGGCCATTCATTTTGAGTAGATCAACTTTCGTAAGCTCGGGAAAGTATACAGCTCATTGGACAGGAGATAATGCTGCTACATGGAATGATTTAGCATACTCAATTCCATCAATATTGAACTCTGGAATCTTTGGAATCCCAATGGTTGGCGCAGATATATGCGGTTTCTCAGGTGACACGACTGAAGAACTTTGTCGACGATGGATCCAGGTAACAAACATGATTTCATCCTCAAAATTGCTTTATGCATATCTAATACTTTTTATTTTCTTTGATGTATAGTTAGGAGCCTTTTACCCGTTTGCAAGAGATCATTCAGATAACAACGCCACCAGTCAAGAGCTTTACCGTTGGGACTCGGTTGCAGCATCAGCTCGAAAAGTGCTTGGCCTTCGTTATCGCCTTCTTCCTTATTTCTACACACTAATGTACGAATCAAACACAAAAGGGACACCTATAGCGCGGCCGCTATTCTTTTCATTCCCCGAGGATACTGCAACATATGAAATAAACTCACAGTTTGTATTAGGCAAAGGAGTTCTAGTCTCACCCGTGCTACAATCTGGCGCAACGACGGTTGATGCATACTTTCCTAAAGGAAATTGGTTTGATCTCTTTAATTTCTCAAATTCAGTGAGTGTTGAATCTGGAAAAACCGTCACACTTGATGCACCATCTGATCACATAAATGTGCATGTTGGAGAAGGTAACATTTTGGCCTTACAAGGTGAAGCAATGACAACGGAAGCGGCGCGGAACACCTCATTCGAACTTGTGGTTGTTTTTAATGGAACTGGAAATAGTTATGGACAAGTGTATTTGGATGATGGTGAGGCTGTTGATATAGAAGAGAAAGAGCAATGGACACTAGTGAGATTCTATGGTGAATTGAATAGTAATATTGTTTCTGTTAGATCAAATGTTACAAATGGAAAATTTGCTTTAGACCAAAAATGGATCATTGAAAAGGTTACACTCTTGGGGATACCAAAGAATGAGAGGTTAAGTAGAATTGATTTGGCTGAGACTGAGAGTGAGTTGAATGTTGTGAATGGAATGAATTCAGTGAAGAAAAGAGTTTTAAAGACAAAATTTGATAGGTCATTTGAATTTGTTACTGTGGAAGTTTCAAATTTAAAACAGCTTATTGGTGAAGAATTTAAGGTGGAGACAAAAATAAGATAGAAAGGAACTTTGAGAATGCATGCTTTTTTCTTCCTTCTTTCAAGAGTTCCTTGTCATAAATTTTCTATATAACAATAAGTTAGTACTATTGTTCCGGTGTGGGCCTCACCTCGGCAGGCCCAATACCAAATACGGCCCAACAGGCGAACTGGGCACACCTGGCACACGCCCCTTCGGACGAGCAGGACCGTCCGCCGGGCACAAGCCATCACGCCGCATCCCCTTCGTCGTCCGTCACACCAGACGAGCGAGACTACCCGGGCTCCCTCCGCGGGAGAATAACGTGCTCGGCGCACGTTATCCATACGCTTCCCTCCGCGGGAGAATAACGTGCTCGGCGCACGTTCTCCACGTGCTCCCCTCCGCGGGGACACGTCATCGGCCAACCGCCCACCTCCGAAAGAGCAGGTCAAACCCACTTTCCGGAGACCTAGGAGCGGTTGAACTAGGGCGAAGACCACGTCCTGGTCTTCACTACGCCACGTAAGCCCTAGCAGTCATTAGGGTTGGGCCTGGTCGTCTGGCCCACCTCGAATGACCGTTGGCCCAGCGCTGGGGTCTCTCTATAAATACCCTCTTCTTCAAGAGGGTCAGGTAACTCTTCTTGCCCCCCTTTTCTGTACTATTGCTTCCTCTCTGTCCAACTTCTTACTTGGGCGTCGGAGTGCTTTGCAGGTACACCCCCTCCTCGTTCTTACCTCGGCGAACAGATAACCGTCCGGCGAAGCGTGGCCAGTCCGTGATCCCTCCTGATCAGGTCAGATCAGTGGCGCCGTCTGTGGGAACGGAAACTTCCCCGTTACTCCGAGCAGAAAAACCAAAAGTTTCACCAAACCTCCACGGTTATGGCCAGCCCACGCCGCGACGACACTCCGCTCGATCTCGCGCTCAACACTGCCACCAACGGGAAGCAGGTAGGAACGGCGCGCCTGAATGAAGCCGACGAAAGAGACGGGCAAACCGCCTCGCCATCGTCCGAGGAAAGGCCCCTGCACGCCGACCATCGCCCCCCGAGCCCGCCGGCATTCCACCCTGTTCCCATCCCGGCGGGAGCGGACCCCACGGTGGCCGCCCTCTTTGCAGCCATCAACCAGACGAACCAGCTGCTGTCCCAACAGAACGCTAGAATTGGAGCGTTGGAACGCGGCGGCTCCCCGTGGTACCCCCAGCGGGAAGACCAGAACGGAGGTTCGAGGAGCCCCTCACCTCGACCCAGGAACCGCCGACCGCGGTTGGAGAGACGCCGCCCCCAAGCGACACGGGAACGCACCAGATCCCCGGCAAGACACGGTCGCGGGAGGAACCAGAACGCCGCGGCGACCCCAACCGAGGAAATCCGAGGCGGGAGCACAGGCCGGAGATCGAGGGCCCGAAACCCGGGACACACCGCGACCGGCTCATCCCCCCTGAGATCCCCGGCGCACAGCGACGAGGATGACTACCGCACCCCACTATCCCGGGAGATCATGGCGGCCCCTATACCCCAAGGAATGGAGAAGCCACCGACGCTGTCAACGTACGACGGCACCTCCGACCCGGACGATCATCTGGAAGACATCGAGGCCATGCTCGACTACCGCAATGTCCGGGGAGCTATCAAATGCAGACTCTTCCCGACGACTCTGAGGAAAGGCGCTATGACCTGGTACAAAAGCCTGGAGCCCGAATCAGTTACATCGTGGAGGGTCTTGAAGGACCTATTCTCCAAACACTTCACAGCGTCCCGGCGTCACCCGAAGACGGAAGCAGTCCTCGGGGCGATCATCCAAGGCCCCGACGAACCCCTCCGGAAATACATCGAAAGATTTACTCGGGAAGCCGTACAGGTGACGACTTCCGACGAAATGAAACGCTACTTAATGGAGCAAGGCCTGCGCCATGACTCCAAATTCTACGAGGCCGTGGGCATACACCGGCCCACGTCCCTCCAAGACTTCCTCGACAGGGCCGCCCACTACATCCGGTTCGAGGAAACACAAGCGGCCAACTCCGCCCGCGACACCCGAGACAGAGAAGCCCCCCGCGGGCACCGAGACGACGGAGCTTCGAGCCACCGGCGAGGAGGGGACCGCCGTCGGGATGACCGCCACCGCGAACCCCGCGAACAGCGCGAGTCGCGCGGCCCGGCAGGAAGGTTCACCGAGTACACCGCCTTGGTCGCTTCCCGCGAACGCATACTGGCCGAATGCGCTAAAACCGAGTTTGTGCAGGGAGGTGTCCGTTTTCCACGACCAACGCCGCCCAAACCCAACGTGGACAAGTCAAAGTACTGCCGGTTCCACAGGACCCACGGGCATGTAACGGAAGACTGCATCCATCTCAAAGATGCGATCGAAATCCTAATCAAAGATGGGCACTTAAAGCGATACACCCGGGGAGGTGAACCACCCAGATCGGAGGCCCCGGAGGCAAAGAAAATCGAGGAGCTCCCCTGCCCAGAAGACGGTGAGAGACTCCAGGTCGCGCTGTGCGTCAGCCGCCCCGAGGACTGGTTCGCAAGCAGAGGACTCGGCATCCCCGAAGCACCCAGCTTAGTCGGCGAGCCAACCCGACCAACCAGCCGATGGGAATACTTCCCCAGAGCCATGGTCATCTCTGATGGCGCTACGAGGAGTCTGTCCATAGGATCTGTGAAAAGGAAATTCGACGAACTCATCGCGGGCAACTCCGGCAAGATGAGCACGCTCGACAGATTCCGAGGCCGCTCCAACCCGATCACGTTCTACCTCGAGGAACTACCCGGGGGATCTCCCAATTCCAACATACCCTTGCTCATACGCGCACGTATGGCAAACTTCGACGTCAGGCGCCTCCTCGTCGACGGAGGGAGCTCGGTTGACATAATGTACTCACATTTGTTCACGACTCTCCAGCTCAGCGAGTCCAACCTCTCCCCCTACGTAGGCTCCGACCTCCAGGGGTTCAACGGGACGACGACAAGACCCTGGGGATACGTGGAACTGAAAGTCACCTTTGGGGAAGAGGAAACGGCCAGAGACATCAGCATCCGCTTCTTAGTCATCGAATGCCCGTCCCTGTATAACTGCATCCTGGGCAGGACAACGATAGCAGAGCTCACCGCGGTACCCTCCACCGCCCACCTGAAGATGAAATATTACACGAGAAGGGGAGCCGTGGTCACCCTCAACGGCGACATCGAAGCTGCCCGAAGGTGTTTTGAAGCCGCACTGAAAGGCTTCGACTCCATCGCTCCACCGACCAAAAAGAAAGCACCGAGCGCTACGCCAAAGGACAAGCCAACAGAGCTGGTCGGATCAGTTGAGCTCGACAGTCGCTTCACCGACGAGCTCGACAATAAAAAGACTGACGCGGCCAACGAGCATCCAGCGCGCCCCATCCCGGATGGCGATTTCGAGCTCATTCCCCTCGGGGACGACACGACCAGAACCGTAAGGGTAGGCGCAGGACTCCCCGACCTCGCGAAACGACAGCTCCAAGCCTGCCTCCGCGAGAATGCCGACCTCTTCGCCTGGAGCGCCGCGGAAATGCCGGGACTCGACCCTGAGGTCGCCTGCCACCAGCTGTCCATCAGCCCGACCGCAAAGGCCGTGGTGCAACGCCGTCGCCGCCAGTCTCCAGAAAAATCGGCAGCAGCCGAACAAGCTGTAAAAGACCTCTTAGAGGCAAATTTTATTTCGGAAGCCCGGTATTCCACCTGGCTGTCCAACGTTGTACTTGTTAAAAAGAATAATGGAAAATGGCGCATGTGTGTTGACTACACTGACCTCAACCGGGCATGTCCTAAGGACGCCTACCCCCTCCCCAACATCGACAAGCTCGTCGACAACTCGGCGGGCTTCAAACTCTTGTCCTTCATGGACGCATACTCGGGATACAATCAGATCCCGATGGCCGAACACGACAAACAGGCCACGGCCTTCATGACAGCATCGGGCAATTACTATTACAACGTAATGCCTTTCGGCCTCAAAAACGCCGGGGCCACGTACCAACGGATGATGAACCGCGTCTTCCACAAGGAGATCGGAGACATGCTCGAAGTCTATATGGACGACATGATCGTCAAATCCGGCGCGGAAGACGACCATGCGGCACATCTCCAGAAGGTCTTCAAGACCGCGAGATCATGTCGCATGCGCTTTAACCCGGAGAAATGCACTTTCGGCGTCTGCGCCGGTAAATTCCTCGGCTACTACTTGACCGAACGGGGGATCGAAGCCAACCCGGACAAGTGCCACGCCTTCTCCAATATAACCACGCCGACCACGAAGCGTGCCATCCAGTCCCTCAACGGCGTACTAGCCTCCCTCTCACGATTCATCGCGAGATCGGCCCAACACGCCCTCCCGTTCTTCAAACTGCTCAGGAAGGAGACCAAGTTCGAATGGACGGACGAATGTGAGAGAGCCCTTCGCCACCTCAAACGCGTCCTCTCCGAACCACCAGTACTGACGCGCCCCGCGACGGGCGAAACCCTGTACTTATATCTGGCCGTCTCTAACGAAGCCGTCAGCGCCGTCCTCGTGAGCGAAGCCGGGGAAGGACAAAAGCCCATTTATTTTACTAGTAAAGCCCTCCACGGCCCGGAGGCCCGATACCAGCTGATCGAGAAAGTCGCCCTGGCCCTCGTTACAGCGGCACGCCGACTCCGGCATTATTTTCTAGCACACACCATCGTGCTCCGCACCGACCAACCCCTCCGCCAGCTACTCAGCCGCCCAGACATGGCTGGGCGCATGCTGAAATGGTCGCTAGAGCTCTCCGAGTTCGACATCACATACGAGAGCCGGCACGCCATCAAGGCTCAAGCGTTGGCTGACTTCGTAGCCGAGATGACCACGCCCCCCGACCCGCCCACCAGGAACCACCTCTGGACCATCTTTGTGGACGGCTCCTCCAACTCTACGGGGAGCGGCGCCGGCATCGTCCTCGACAACGACGAGGGTACGGTCATCGAAGTCTCCCTCACGCTAGCTTTCCCAACGACCAACAACCAAGCCGAATACGAAGCATTTCTC